CATCGGAGGTCGGTAATTGCCGCGAGGAGTGTCTGTTCTCCCGCGCGCGGCGTTGTGGTTCCTGCGGCGGCCCCTGTCCGGCCAGGACGACCCGTTTGTCTGCCGCCCGGCGACATCCACGTCGACGTCGCCGTCGCCATGCTGATGGCGCAGCGCCAGGCCGCGAGGAGGTGTGCCTCGGCGACGATCGCCGCCGCCTCCGGCGCCAGAGCGGCTGGTGCGGGCGGGGCGACGCCGGCGTCGCGCCTGGCGCCGGCGCCGGCGTAGGGCGGCGAGCCCGCGCCGCGCGCCGCAGACGCTACGGCCCCTCCTCCAGGCGGAAGGTACAGTGCTGGTGCGCAGAGGATGTTGGCCGGGTTTGCCAAAGGAGCCCAGACCATGTAGAAGCATTGCTGGCTAGGCCACCGCCGGTTGTAAATCTATTCCCGTCGCTTCGTTCTCGTCGTGGAACAGCGTGTGGGAGCAATTGAGATTCACGTTCTTCCAGTGTAGGAATAATGCGGTAGCGACGTATCGTCAACCGGCGTGAGCCAAGTTTGCAAGCCCCTCTTGAAGGTGGATGGGTCGCTTTGCCCCTGATGCAGCAGCGTGCGCCCTGGCTTGAAACATGTGCGCGCGGACGTGTTGGGATGTCGCGCCCGCGCTATGTTCTGCCCCGTGCTGCCCCCTGTCAGCCATCTCGCTCGACGGATGGACTCCTTTTCAGTCAAGACCATTAAGCCGTTCTGTGTTAACTCATTTTCGGACCGTGGTTCAATTTTCCATCGCTCTGTGTGGGTTCGCGGCATATTTCCGTGGCGTTTTTCCCTTTTTCTGCTTCTGCTTGTCAACTCCAATTGTTCCAACACCACTCATTCCATCAATAATCACATATTTTCATCAAGTCATTCAACATATCAGCGAAAACATAGGATGGAGGGAAGTATAAATAAAATAAATGTGCTCCCGTGGCAGAGAGTTTGGTATACATACGTTGAGCATAACCGTCTCCATGAATGAGTACTTTGTGTTCGTGGAAGGTGCTTGTAAATTTCGTCTCATGATGCCACGATCTCTTTTCTTTCGCTGTATATTATTGGTCAATGTATTGTCACCGGCGTATAAGGCCGCAAATAAAGAGCAGAACACAAGCCCTTATGGTGAAGAGCCTTAGATTCGAATCAATACGTCGTATACTCATGTCCACGAAGATGAAACTCATAGAACTAATTTTACCTGTCAATAATATTTTGCTTTAAGAAAAGTCTTTAACAAATCATGAGGTATTTATTGTTTATTTATTTATGATTATTAACAAGCTAGACTCTAATAACAAATAAACTCTATCTTCTCTTCGTTCTCAATCCCTCCCAGGATAAAAGCGTTTTCCGGAAACTTCCAGTTGATAATTTTTTATAATCGGATTATGGTATTCGAAGGATAAGATCATCATTCATCGGCGTATTCCTTGCCATAGAAGTCTTTCAGCCTTCTGAGGAAAATAAAATTATGGGGTGATACGTCGACCATCTATAAGATATCGGGTCGCCGAGCAGTGGGCAGCAGCATTACTTTCCAACTTCACCTTACGGAAGCATACTTGTACACTTCGCCGGATTGGACTATCGATTTAGTTTCCTTGGCTCTCCAGAAGACATTGCATCCTAGGCGATAGTTCTTAAGTTTCGGTCTGGGTAACGTTGTGTAGCTTTGTTATTACGTAGTTGTCTCTTGGGCGAGAAAACGGAGTGCGGTCGCACTGCTCGCTACCTCTGACTCAGAGTAGAGAGGCACGCAATCACCAGCTCGGGTTGACAGTCTTTTATTCCGGAAGCTGATTCAGAAAGATCTGGAATGTTGGAACTTACAAGAAGTGTCCCACTGTCGTCGGACGCTCTCTGCTAAAGTACCCAGCTGGTGACTAATCTCCACGTGCCGACGGCAGTCGCATGGCGGGTGCTCCGCTCCCACGCAACTGTTCGCACTGTCGAGAGGGGTACGTACTTTCCTGCGTGACTCCACGTTCTTTCGCTGTGTATTGTTGGTCAATGTTTTGTCACCGGCGTTACTCGTGCTCGTGTTCACAAGTGTCCACGGGTTGAAGAGGGCAGGAAAGCCATGGAGCCGTCTTTTCCTGAGCGCTGTGTCCCAATGATTGGTTTACAAAATATTATTTATTACAGTTTAGGATTTGTAAGTGTTTTCTAATTTCTAAGAATGCGAAACTTCGACTGAAGGAGGTCGCAGAGCTGTAAGGCGCACCTGTGGAATATAACTCTGCATCCGATATTTCCGCTTTTGGTTTAGTTCAGCATAGCTACCAGCTTAAAAGGCTTCTTTAAAATAAATACATTTCATGTACTAATTGTTATGTACTCGCAGTGTACTCTTTTCCGTCACCACTTTGGCTGCAGAAATCATCTCCTCATTTTTCTTTCAACGTTTCGGAAGACATTCATCATCACAGTTTAGTTCCCTTTTTTGCGTTAGACTACTTGTCCTGTTTCATGTCATTTTCCGGTTCATTTGACCAAATGTCTAATACTTTTAATCGACGTTTTTTATTCGAATATTATCTTTATCTTAAATAATGGAAAATTTGCAAATGCATTCATGATTCTCTGCACTTATTTTTCATTATCAGCGGAGTGAAGGAAGTAGAAGTTTTTCCAGATTGCTCAAAGCATATCCAATACTATACCGTGAACACTTCGGATTGAAGATCGTTTCTGAATGATTCTGCATTCTTTTAAGTTCAATGCAGTGTTAGTGATGTGAGGCAGTGACGGTCCGCGATTCGGAAAGAACCCTGTGCGAACCGAAGCACCCAATACCACTGTCGCAAAGGACAATGTGCGAAGCCAGTGACTCCATGCTACAAATTGAAGCATCCGGCCGCGTGTGACACTTGGCAGCTGGCACGATCGTTCATCCTCGAAGTATATCCTCATCCCATTCCCATCCTCGCCCTGCTTCCCACCTCGCCGACTGGCCGCGGATGGGGTCGTAAATGTGACGCCATTGTCGCCCTTATAGGAGGCGGGATGTGGAATTGATGGTGCGGAAAAGAAGGGACAAAAAATGTTTTAAAAAATCCCTCGGGCTGAAAATACAGCATGAGCGAGAAGCTCGTAAGGATAATACAGAATATTATGAATACTTTCATCCACACCCAATTGAATCGAAAATGTAGTTAGGTAAAGCTAGTTTGTAAATGAAAACATCTACTTCCTCTTTACAGAGGTGGCCTGTCGAAATTTCTTGGATGAAAAAATACAGTTTTTTGATATGATATTTTAAAATAATTCTCAATGTCGTCTCGATCGATAATATATTTGAACATTTTAGAAAAATGTCAGTCAGAGGACAGGTCGCATCGAAAGTAATGCAATGGACCCGAAGCTAAATAATTCTCATTAGTCCCGTTACGTGTTATACATTTTACATCCCGGAAGGAGACGTAGTACCTCTCCCACTAAAAAGAGAGATCCAGCGCCGACCTTCACGTCGACTTGCGGGTTTTCCTCTTCAGGAACACAGCCCTGCTGGGAAAAGCTCAAAGCCCCCAGACTGGGCTCCTGACGTGTGTGGTTATGTAGTGCAAGTAAGTGTAAGTAAATGGTAATGGGAGGGGTTAGAGCAAGGAAGACAAAGGAAATATCGGGCGCGTTTCATAGGGTACTGCCCCGGCATTCGCCTGAAGCTGATCGAAGAAACCACGGAAAACTAGCGATCGGAGCAGTAAGACGCTAGAACTTTTCGTCCAGAAGTGGATGAATTCGCCCTAGCTCTTTAGCCAGTGTCGTAAATGTAGCTTCCGTCAGTACTCGAATCCTAGGACTTTTCGGTCAGAGTCGCTAGGGTGTATCGCGATCACTGAATGTCACGTGTTGTTAATTAGCCCTGAATAATGGGGGCAACATTGCGCGGACCTCGTTAGGGCGGTAGACTGCGAGTCCGATGTTGATGTTGTGCAGCTCATGAGAAATCCGGGGGTGGAGAATCGTTGGAGAGCGGTAGGGGGCCCTCTTCGAAGCGAACAAATTCGCTTCCGCGTGCGATCTTCCAATCATAGATACCCCCTCCTAAATGAATCGGTTAGTTTTAAAACCCCGTAAATCAGGAATTGTAAAATAGTGGGAAAACCAGAAAAACTGAATAATTAAGTACATAGAGAACTTTTCTGGTTTTTTTTTTTTTTTTCTGTTTTTTTCTGAACCATAAATCTTGATTGAGAATGCCATATAGACGTGTAATTCACGTGTATTATTAGTACAATAGTCGCTGGACTTATTTAAAAGTTAATGACTTACGGGATTTCAAAAAGGATTTTTTACCTGAACATGTACTAAATAAATACACATTGCTGGTTCAGTTTGCAATTTGACAGATTTAGTACAATATTATGTGAAATGATAATGCGCATCTACATCAAACAGGATTCACATGATAGAAGCATTTGCTTAAAATATGTGTTTCTGTGATAGTACATACGAATATTTCCGTATTGAACATACCTTTTAACTAATCTTCCTGTCAGTGATATCCCAGTCATACACACTGAACACACACACACACGCACGCGTGTCTATCCCAGTCATACACACACACACACGTGTGTGTGTGTGTGTGTGTGTGTGTGTGTGTGTGTGTGTGTACACATACATACACAGTCATACATACCCCGTAAGTCAATGACTTAAAAGATTTTCGAAAACAAACCAAAACTTGACAGTGTCCTCACGGCCATTCTATTCATCTGATTTACGGGATTTACATATGGTACGATACATCTATCCTGCAGCTTCTATTTTCTCACAAAAAGCGAAAATGCAAGAGAAGGTGACTCACTGGGATTTAAAAATAACCGATTCACCCTTTGCATTCGCGAAAAGGCCGCGCGTGCGAGCGCAGCCACTACCTGCATTGCGCTCGAAAGCTGCGAGCCGGCTCGGCGAGCGCCATCGTCGTCACATCTCCTGCAGAGGACGAGCAGTGCGAGTGCAGAAACATATCACACAATGCCGCACAGAGGTGTCGTCCCCGGCGGGCGGGACGTACGGAGGCCTAGGGGGGCGTGGCGCCAACGGTGAGTGCGTTCCGGTGTCGCCCATCCCCTTGCGCTGGCGGGTGAAGTGCGCAACCGCTCCGATGTGCCACACGCCCTCTCCCAGGCAGAATCCCCTTCTTCAGGGGCTTCATTCGTTCTTGATTTCGGGTTTCAGCTGCCACGCCCATTAATCCTGCAATTGCAGTGCGCGGGGGTGGGGAGATCCGACGTCTTATACGACGGTTTGCAGGGGGGTTTCTCAACCAGGTATCTCCCTCCAACGGCGCTCCGTCTCATCTGGAACGAGCTCTAAGCTCCCGACTGCTCTCTCGACATGTGTGGTAGTGTAGTTCATATAAGAGGTATGAGGATAGGGTAAGGGAGAGGAACGAAATAATCGCGCGCGGTTCTTTGTTAGGGTACTGCTCCGGCATTCGCCTGGTAATCGAAGAAACCACAGATCTGAGTAGCTGGCCACTCGAATTCTCCTCCAGGCAGCGGGTGAACTCGGCCTAGACCCTTGTAATTGCAGTTCGTTATTGTCAATTACTGACGGCCACTTCTTACGAGTTAGTGAAGACCGTCGGGACTCGATCCCAAGGACATCCGCAGAGGCGCTGCATTTTCATCAGTACTTGCCCTGAGTCACCACAGGATGTGGAAGACCCACATGTGGTACGGTGAGGAATCATTTTGACACCCCGCTCTCATTCGTCGATGAAAGATGACACTTTGCAGAACATGAATTTCATCTTCAAATGCCATCCGCTCAGGCTTGATGGGGAATACTCCTGTGAACTGTGATGCTATCAATTACATAGTAATTTTTTTCAATAAATGGAATATAATTACAAAAAAAAATTATTTTGATTCCTCCCACTGTATCTGCCATGCCTTCCCACAGCTATCCACCACTGTCTCTAATCTAATCTCTTGGTGATGAAATAATTGGGGGTGTGAGGTGGTGAGAGAGCTGAATCACTGGAGCAAAAGAAAGAAAGAAAGAAAGAAAGAAAGGAGGAAAAGGGGAACTGTAGATGAATTATCGTTTTCACATTGGCAAAGTGTTTGCGTTTTTCCTGGAAACTATTCAAATATTGTCATTTAATATAACTTGATTACTAGTAATAAATTTTAAAACTCTTGGCACTTCGATTTATTTTTTTAACAAACAAAAATAGGTAATAGATTTTATAGTTTTACATGTTTATTATTTTCATTTGTATCATCCATACAATAATTGGTGCCTTTTCTGTAATTACACTTCATTGTTGTCAATTACTGCCTGTAACTTCCTATTAGATAGAACTCTGAGAAATTTTATTTAGATATAGGCAATGTTGAAATTGCTTGTATTGTAGGGAAAAAATTGTTGGACAACTGAAAATCTTCACAGAAGTAGCTTTTACTTTATTTGAACAGAAATTACTTCATATAGTTTATGTTAAATATTTTTGTATCTGTTACAGGTTGAGAATGTTCGAATGCTGGATCGTTACAATGCTCGTAAACCATCCGTGGGTACCCTCTACTTGACAGCTACACATTTAATTTTTGTGGATCCAGATGGAAAGAAAGAAACATGGGTAAACAGTCTCAGAATAGTTTTCAGTGATATTATATTAATATTTATATCATTTCTGTGTGTAATTTTATTGTTTTGTTGCATAGATTCTTCATATGCACATCGCAAATGTTGAAAAGTTGCCCCTTACTACTTCAGGCTCCCCTCTACAAATCCGCTGCAAGACGTTTCTGTCAGTGACATTTGTAGTTCCTCGTGAGAGAGATTGTCAAGAAGTGTTCGTCACTTTGCAACAACTATCACAACCAGGTATTTTCTTTGATCATTTCTCTCCAGTTGTTTGCTATTGACAAATTTTAATTTATATATTTTTTTCCAAAATACTTTTATTTTGTGAGTGGTTGATCTTACCCATAGAACTGAGACAAAAAATATTCAAATGTCTTTTCAATTATGTTTATTTTCATTTTGATGCACCTATTAAGCTTCTTGCTTTGCAAAATTAAATTAAGTGATATTTCTAAACATTATTATTATCATGTCAGCTTGAGGAAATTTTGGTCCCATAAATTTTCATCTAAAATTATTTTAGAAAAATGGGAAAATATCTGTATTTTGTCTTCCACTTCAAGAAATAACAAATATTCTACAAAAAGTTAAAGAACTTTTGTAGAAACAAATGTTTTAAACACAAGACAATGACCTTTAGAGCAGGAATGGAAAAAAATCTAATTATGCTTTCTTTTCATATGAAAAGTTGAAATACTGATTCTCTCTCTTCCATGTAACAGTTGAAGTGCCTAGAATCATAAGCTCTAAAGCACACAAAAGTCTATTTTGGTATTTGATGAAAATTCTTATGCATACTCCTTACATTTATTCTCTAAATGGCAAATTAGTTATTGCTGTACCTTAGTTTTTAGGATTCTATGTGGGTATTGAAAAAGGGCATTTTGCTGAAAAATCAAATTTTTGTCTAGTTTTATTAACAGCCCTTTTTTGCTTTAGGCCCTTAAGATTTTCTTTATATTATACATGCTATAATTCTATACTATTTTGTTGATGTGTCAAGTTGTGTTATACTTTGGTGTATTGGACTTAATTTTAAATCTGATAAGGAACATTGTGTCACACTCACAGAATTTCAATGACCCCAAATTATCATCCATTCTAATGAGCAGAAGTTGAGACAAAGCTGTGAGAATGTTTTCAATCAGTAAAAGTAATTTGTAAGTAATTATAAATCCATGTTATTATGTCTAACAGTCTGTAAATTGCTGTTTAGCCTTTCAATCCAAGTCAGCAGCAGACTAATAAAATAAGAAGTTGTGAGTCAGAATTCAAAAGAAGTTTCTTACTTATGAAATTTTGCATGTTAACATTTCTTCTTTGAAGAACATTTGTGAGTAGACTGAAGAAAATTCAAAAGTTCATTGTGTAATTTTACTTGTACAGAGTATATTTTTTTAAACATGATAATCCTTTTGATTAAAATATTTTTCTTTTTCCAAGCAGGTATGAATATTAATAGATTCATAACTGTTTTATCTGAAGTAAAGAATTTTGTTAGTCCAACATGAAAATCTTGTTAATTATAAAGAATTTTTAATTCCTATATTTCTGTCATAACATTTTAACTAATCATGCTTTGGAATCATAAGGAAATATCACAAATAAAATCTATTTAAAAAAAAGGAACACATGAATATTCTTTATTTTAGTGAGAGAAAAAACCATTGCAAAATTATTTTTAAGAATAATGTATATTTCATTTTAGAAATGAAAAGGAAATTATGAAAAGAAATGCAATATTTTATAGTTGGGACTCAAAACTGGCAATGTACACATTAAGCAAAAATAAATAATTTACAGATACATTTATGATTTCTCAATAATATTGTATGGGTAAGAAAATATTTTACATTGTTTGCCCTTGGTTGGGAAAATAAACCTCTCTAAGAAGCTATAAGAAGTGAGAAAGGATGTTTTTAGAAAATGTTTGTTGAATGATGACTCTTGTATTTCTACGTTTAAATATATTTTTAACCAGCTCGGTAAATGTTTTATGTGAAAACTTTAAAACTTAACAAAACCCGTCATAATCTCTATTGCATTATCTTGTCATCCCTAAATTGCCTCGTAATCTGTTGTTTCACTAACTGTACGTGGGAATGTTTCAGTTCATATAGAAGACCTGTATTGCTTCCACTACACTTCAAGTACAGAAGATATACCAAAACCAGCTGGGTGGAATTTCTTTGATTTACAGTCTGAATATCAACGTATGCGAGTGCCTAATGACCAGTGGAGTTTGACCCTGCTCAATAAGGATTATGAGGTGCTTTGACTTGACTTTTCAAGTGATTTTTGATATTTCAAAAGTTCAGCAGGATACGAGGAGAAAGCTTGAGAAAGTGGCAAATTCTGAGGATGAGCGAATCATAGAAACAGAATCACCCCTTTAGAAAAAAAGAAAAGAAGAGAGTACAGGAAAAGGAAGAAAATAATGTCTTACTTTTTAGAGTATCTAAATATGAGAAGGGTATTTTTGTTTTCAACGGTACATTTCAGCAACTACAACCAATAATTCATAAATAGAATTTATCATTGATTAAAATTGTTTTACATATTTCAGCAATTAATATTTTATACAGCAACTAAGTTAGTTAATGAGATTAAGTTTTGAAGTAATTCAGTAATATTTAGGTAAATTTTCATTATTAAAGATCACATTTTTATCATTTAAATAATTTTAACTTTCCTGCTAATCTCGGGTTGCAAAGATGAGCAGATTCTTTGAGACTCTGATCCACATGACAGTTTGTTCAGGGGTGTTATTGCACATCTTATTTCCATTCTTTGAGTCTCTCATCCTTTCTTTGTAATGAATAAAATAAAGAGAAACAATACTAGGTGGCATAGTGGATTATTACGGAAATAAAGATATAGCATGATCTGGGAAATAGGAGTTCCCAATGACTAGTAATGCTTGAATGTACCGTAGTAATTCTCTACCAACATTTGGCTCAAGTATGAGATTGAATCCTAGAACAGAGAGGACTGCTGCTTCACAAGTCTCATGTGATTTGTCTTGAATAGGATGCTTGGTGCAGGGGTGTTGGTAGCGGGGAAATAAGGAGAATATTTTCAAGTACATCCAATAGTTTTATTTGAATTTCATTTTTTAATATTAATGTAAAGGACATATTAACTGTACTAAATGTATCCATCAGCATGCTTTGAAGCACTTGTGTGATTGCACTGCCAATAGAGCAGAGTTTTAGCATCCCACCAAGACTGAAAACAAACTTAAAAAACAGCATGATACAGAAATGATTGAAGAATGTTCTTATCTATCACAAACTTCAAGGTTTGCTCCATCTTCCAAAATTGATATTATGTGATATAGATAAAGACAATTCAGTACTGCTTGTATCAATATGTATGTGAATATTTTTTTTGCATTCAATAGTTTTCTAAGTTTGTTGTAAGGGTGTATTAATGAATTCATGAATTGCTGTGATATAACAACCTTATTAAGTCTTCCTCATTGACCATGTTAACTTCAATACAGAAACAAGTTGCAGCCTAAAACAAACGTATTTGGAAGAACTAGCATTTAAATCACTTCCTGTGATATCATCCCAAAATTTTACAAGTCAGAGATCATACAATAATGTTCTAACAGTCCCTACTTTGTTTGGCTGAACAGTTCCTACTTTGTTTGGCTGTAGTAATGCAGATGATCAATCTGCAAAATTTTGTTTTATTAATTTATTGAGAAAATTACATTAAAATACTTGAGCTCTTATTTTATAATTATTACAACTATGTTATTTTTTTGAATATGATATTTGTATTTAATTGATCATTGACAATATTATATTTGCAGCTCTGTGACACATACCCTCGATATCTGTACGTACCATCAACAGCTTCAACTACTTTACTGATGGGCAGTTCCCGCTTCAGAAGCAAAGGCAGATTACCAGTGTTATCTTATCTTCACAGAAATAAGGTGAAAAAAGCTGTTCATAAATTGCTTGAAACTGAAATTTACTCTTTACAGGGGTCAACAGCAATACAGTGATTTACCTCTTAATTTCTGTTATTTACATACTTATTGAAGATAATTATATCATGTGTCATTCCTTCTTGTTTGCCTATTGTTTTCATGTATGCCATTCTTTCATTTATTGATTCACCACATCTTAAGCCACTTTCTCTATGTAATTTTTAACTTCATTTCTTGTACAGAAGGGTACACAGTTCTTCAATATTTTATATAAAGAGTCATTTTGAAAAATATAATTTGCTAATGAGTACCTAGTGTTATAAGGTGGTAAACAATTACACATAACACAAATTTTTGAAATTCTATTACTGGTTAAGATAGCTCAGAGCAACAACTGTTGCCATTACAGTGACAAACTGGGAGGTTCTAGGGTTCAAGTTGCGATAGTGATGGATTTTCTATACTAGCTATAAGGCTAGATCAAATTCAGCTGTCTGGAGGAGATTTGTAGCTGCTCAGATAGATTAGCTTTCCATTACTCTTTTGATCATTATCAGATGTATGCCAAAGTACTACCTTGACAAACAGGTCACAGATCTTTCCTTCCTCATTATGCCCTTATAACCACGCACTTACACGCACTTCACTACCACACATGTCGGGAGCCTAGGCTTAGAACTTGTCTTCACTGCCTGTTGCCACGCTAGCAAGGATACCTGGAAGCTGCAAGCCATTGTTTAGGTCAGTGCCAGATCTTGCATTGTAGATACAAAGGTAGAAAATCACTTTCAAGAAGAAAAGTATATTAATCCTGTGTAGTTAACACCATTGACATTACTAGTATTGTTAATATTAATTAGACTCATTATATAATATAAATAATTATTCACATTTATTGTAAGCAGACACAGAGGTCTATATTGCTGCAGCAGCATGTATACTTCTTCTAAGAGTATCTACATGGTTGTCTAAGAAGACACTGCATCATAGGCATAGATGGCTTTTTGGCTGCCATGCTGCGATCTTCATCAGGGTCAAATCAGAGGAATTTCAGGCATGACAGCTGAAACTTTGATATCTGTGTCTAGGATGAAGTGCATCCCAGACAGTCAAATAGACTCTGACTTCTGTCACGGAAGTCTACACTTTCTTCATAAGAGTTTCCATTATTTGAATGTGAGAGACAAACTGTCACTGGAAGCCATGCAAGATAATGGCAAAAAATCATCTGTTCATTACTAAGAGATGAATTTTCATGTTTTTTGAGAAACAAGATACCTGCATTCAATAATATTTGTTTAGAATTGACAAGACATTCTGAATTAATTACAACCATTTGTATTTTACTTATTTTGGAATAATTAATATATTTAAATATTTTACATTGTATCCAACTGCCATTAAAATTATATTTTATAAGTTCATGCCTGATTTTTAACTTTTCTCCTACCACTCCCTTTTGTACTAAAAAAATCAAATAAATATTGTCTCTTATTTTGCAGGCAGTAATATGTCGATGCAGTCAGCCTTTATCTGGATTTAGTGCTCGCTGTATGGAAGATGAACAGTTGTTGAATTGTATTTTAAGAACCAATCCTAATTCTAGTTACATGTACGTGGTTGACACTCGACCTCGTGTAAGTGGTTTTCAAACTACTTTCCTGGATATTTTTCAAACTTCCTGGTTGTTCTAAATTACTGTTTAATGTTTTTTTTATTTTCAGATTAATGCAATGGCCAATCGTGCTGCTGGGAAAGGTTATGAAAATGAAAATTTCTACGAAAACATTAAATTTCATTTTTTGGGTATTGACAATATTCATGTAATGAGAAGCAGTCTTTCTAAGCTAATTGAAAGTAAGTATTAATACAGGGCACTACAATAAATAATGCAGTCATATTCATGCATTGACATTATGCAATCATATCATTTCCAAAGAAAATCTAGAGATTGATCTAAACAAAATTAGTATTTATTCTTTTGAATCCAATGCTGAATTATTAAGGTTTTAATATTGTTTGTTTGTTTGTTTGTTTGTTTTTTAAATCAAAAAATTCAGTTAAATCAAAGAAAGCAAAAGATCAAATCTGAATTAACAAAACCATAACTGGATATGAAATAGGAACAAACCAGTTGAATCCTTGTGATCACACTAAACTAAAGGAAGAGCTATAGAAAAGTTAGTTAAGTTCTACATATTCACTATGTGAAAAATTGTAAATCCCAAACACATTATTACATGTCGTTTAGTATTTATTTTCAAAGACTAATGAAATAAGGAAGGTTTACAAATTTTTGAACAATACAATCACTATCCACTGTAAACACATATTTGAAAATGTTAAGACAGAAAATGTAATTGACATCTTCTTAATTGACAACTTTTTAATTTACTGAGATCTGTACATGTAAGTTGTAGGTAACTATGGTAAAAAATTGTACTATTCACCTAATTACAATCAGTGAATATTTGTGTGTGTGGTTGTCAGGACAGAAGTGTTAGGCAATTGCTGGATATTGCATTTTTGTCCTACAGTCACAACTATTTGCATTTAAAAACACTCTTAGAACTTAAGAAAACACAATATTTTTGCTTAACCAGCAATAACCTCATACACGTTTTCTCAAAAACTTTTAATAGACCAAAATAACTCCAGCATTAACATTTAGCATTTATTCTACAAAAATGATACATATCGGCTAGTGGAAACGTATCTAGAGCCCATTACTTTTCATTTAAGGTAAAAATCATGAAATTTGTTTTGAGTTCAAAGTTGGAACTTCTTTCTAAATGAAATTCTCCTGTTTTAAATAAGGGTTAGATAACCATGACCGATGCACAAATTCTAACATTGACCAGTAAATTCATCTTTGGCATATTAAATACAACTGTAGTGTATAAATTATTTACTCAAGGGAGAAAAGAATAATTTATACACTTCTTGATGTAGGAATCATGAGTAATAATAGTGTAGATAAAAACAAGACATAATTTACATTTTTGAAATCTTTTATTTCACTTTAACAGATTTTACCCTCTTAAAAGGAGAAAATTAAAGATTTCACAGAAAAGCATACTTGGATAATACAAGGGATTAGAATATCATGAAATAGAAATGCGCTATTCACTTCATTTCTTAACATCATAACGTTTGATTTCCACATCTTGTTTCCAAAATACAAAAGCATTTCAAGGAAATTACATGTAAAAATAATTAATCAGCGTTATTATGAATGCTAATAACAAAATCAAAGCAATGTGGTATATCATTAAAAAAATGACCACATCATCTTGAAACTTTGTAGAGAATGTAGATTTAAAGGACAATGATGGAGAGGGGACAGAATCAACAAAAGTTGCAAGTTGTTTCAACCAACACCCTTTTCAGAATTCCAGTTGATCTCATAAAGGCTCTAAAGCCACAAAATTCAAAACCATTTGAAATTTTGCAAAAGAATTTTGATATATGTGTGTCAAAAACTTCTTCCAATGAAATCTTCAGAGTAGTAAGTTAACTAAAAATTAAATATTTGGCTGGTTAAGATAAATTTATAGATTGTTCATGAAAGCAAGGTGGTCACACATTTTACGAAACAAATTTCCCTTACTTTTCAAAGTTTTCTAAAACATTAGGGTTTTCAAATGTAGCTAATCAGGCTTTGTTGGTACTTTTATTAATCATTCAACAATGTAGGCCTATAGTAAAAGGGTGGGGTAGGAATTCTGGAACTCAAGAAAATGTGTGCAGATTATACTTCTACACCACACATCATGGAGAGCTTTACTGTTTTTTTGACAAAATCAAATTAAATGGAATATTTATTTAGCATTTTTATTATTTTGCATTTTATAGTGCAATCATTTCCCTGTACAATGCCCTAGATGTGACTATCTTTTTTCTTTCTGTAATTCATGAACTTTGTTGTAATTCATAAAACATGTTTAAAACAAAGTTGAACTAGCACAGTACATTTTTCTACCATCAGTTTGCTAGATGTGATATTTTTTGTGAAGAAAGGTGGAAAATTATTCTTTTAAATGTAATAAATTTTAATGGTAAACTCCTCAAATGAAAGGTTTGGAAACAATCTCACTATTGATACATCCACTACAGTACCAGCAGCGAATAAGTGAATCTGACAGTTCAGAGCACTGTTGCCACACAGTGCTATGCACAAGGTACCACCTACGTATCAGATAAATTAAATCTCAAAACATTAACACTTACAGTCAGGCTATAACACATCTTGATATCTTCATAACTTTCATAACTTACATAACACAACATAATCATAACTTTCACCAAAGCCAAACCTTATCGTCTCCATGACTCGTAAGCCACCTGACGTGCAACACTGAACCCTGGCTGTAAGAAAGTAAACAAATCCTCGCTAGCTAATTGCTTCAAAGCAGGTAACTGGTCACACCACAGCACGTGGCGAGAGAAGTGTCAATTGTCACTTATATGCTGCCGGCTAAAAAAATGTTATTTTTTTATTTGTCTTGTTTTTTTTTCTTGTGATACATTGTGACAACTTTCAAGGGACTATCACAGCAGAAAAACTGGTACAAATATGAAATATAATGTCTTTTTTATTTGTTTTCTTATAGCATGTGAGCTCAAAGCACCTTCAATGGGCAGCTTCCTCAGTGGAATTGAGTCATCAGGATGGATGCGACACATTCGCTCAATCCTTGAAACCTCTTGGTTTATTGCTCAGGCATTAGAAGATGGAATAAGTGTGGTTGTGCACTGTTCTGATGGATGGGACCGTACAGCACAAGTATGCTCTCTTGCTAGCATTTTTCTAGATCCCTACTACAGAACAATTCAAGGCTTCCAGGTATGAAATCATGAATTATTTTATTTTTGTATAGAGTACGTGAAAAATTGTACTGCATATGAATGAAATTAATTGGTTGTATTTTGATTGTTTTTTTATTTATTAGGCGCTAATTGAAAAAGACTGGTTGGCATTTGGACATAAATTCAGTGAACGTTGTGGACATGTTGCTGGTGATCCAAAAGAAGTGTCTCCAGTTTTCACACAATTAGTAGACTGCACTTGGCAACTAACTCAGCAGTTCCCTACAACATTCCAATTCAATGAACGCTTTCTTCTCACTTTACATGACCATGTACAATCTTGCCAGTTTGGTACTTTCATTGGAAATTGTGAAAAGGATCGTGTTGATCTCAAGTGAGTAATTTGTTACTTTTAAAAAACGATGACAAAAACAAATTAGGTTTGTTTGGGACTAGTGAACACTACAAACCAATTATTTAACTTCCTCTTACCTGAGGAATGAGAAAAAGTTGAATCTGCATTTGTACCTGCAAAACTAATCAACAAGAAAATTGAGTGTAAATAATTATTCTCCATGTTTTTTTTATAGATTGAGTGAACGTACATTTTCTCTTTGGGGGTATATGGCAAATCATATGAATGAATATATAAACCCTCTCTATTCAACTGATGCAAATCCAGATGTTCTGGTTCCAAATATATCACCACAGAATATTCGTTTCTGGCGTGGAATGTATTGCCGTTTTGAGAATGGTGTACACCCACGAGAGCCTCTCGGAGACCTCCTACTGGCAACATGTGACCACAGCTCCTCTTTGGAAGACCACATTCGACTTCTCACAAAGGTTGTTTATAATATACTACCTTTCTTATTACTATTTGCATGTAAAATTTGTTGATTTTTGGTTCGATATAAATGCAATTACACTTTTTTGTATTAAATGAAAGTATTAATCATGGCTGACAGATATTACAAGAAAAATTGAATAACAGTATTATTTAATGTAATATTTTCTATATTGAGATTTTAAAGTCTATACAGGAAATTTTATTTATGCTTGTTATGATTAAGTGTTAAATTTGAGGTAGTATACTTGTGGATAATTGTTGGGAAAATAACTTGGTATCTATTGTTACAATGGTATCTTTTAATTAATATCTAAAGCTTTTAGCAGTCTTGTTCCAAACATGTTACAGTTTTAATTAATAATTTATGATCGTGTTTAGAATGAGAATTATTTTGTTGCAAATATGGAAATTCGTTGTTAATTTTGCCACCTTGCAGTACTGGTAGTGATTAAAAGTTATCAGAGATATATTTACAAAAATTAGTCAGTGCATAGTTGATATCCAAAGACATTATTTACAGAGAATAAATGCATTGAAAGAACAATTAGCAGACAAAGGAGAGAAGCGTCGAAGTTTTACTTCAGACGCCCTTGAAAGTACAGATGTAGTCCTGGATAATAAATACCTTTATGAGAAAGGTTGTGGAGAAGACACAGATAATTTAACTGCTATTAAGCTCAGTCATGCTGCTACAAATGGTAAATGTGTAATTACTTATATTTTTTAGCAATTTTTTTTTTTTTTAAGGAATAAATGTTTCACTTTAATGACTTACAATTTAAAAAATGTTTCTAGTAATTTAATAATTCAATTGAAAAAGAATGATACTTGAATATAGCAACTAAACTGTCTTCATAATTTCTAACATATAGTTTAATTTGCCTTACTATGACAAAGTAAATGAAGTTGCTTGAATTTCAATTTTCTTGTGTAGGAGTTGTCATCCCACCGGTGAAACCTCGAAGTGTTGAATTAATTAGTGTAGATCAGCTTGCTGCTGAGCTGAATTCAGTTGCTCTTGATTGGAAAACTTTAAGAAACATTAGAGAATGCATTTGTTCTACTCCATTTGATCACTTCAGTCGAAAGGTGAGTATAAGGTAACTAGAAGTGAATATCAATGCACTCAATGTAAAATAAATTTTACTGATACAAATTCTTGCTTTTTATTTCCTACAGTATCATTGTTGGAAATGTGGAGAAGTGTTTTGCACACGTTGCATTGATAAACATACTGCTCTTCCCGGACATCATTCTCAACGAGCAGTGCCGGTCTGCAAACCTTGTTATCGAGAGATACGCCGATCATCCTCGATTGAATCACCTTGATTAATTGTATATACAATTGTATGTGGAAATTGACAACCCTGTTATTATATTATCACCTCTTCCCAGAGCCTTGGTAGTATTTATGAAAATTATTTTTTTGTATTCCTTCTGCTCAATTTAAATATTTGGTTTGGTGTGCTTGCTTCAAACTCCAATGGAAAAGTCATATGGTATGTGGTAGAGGAATTGTTTACTTAGCTGTAGGTACTGCAATGCTGCAATAGTTGGGTAAACTACAGCATACTATATGCTAATTTCCGATAGTAATAATTCAGGTCGTTTGACAAACAACACCAAAGACATATGCTAATTATCGTGTATGTGAATTTCAATTGTAAATATATATTGTGTTTTGGATAAAGTCTGACATTGTGAGTCATGTTAATAGCTGTGCATTGTTCATTGGATGGTAATACAATGAAGGAATCACCACCTGCTTAATCATCGCTTTTGATCTTAAAAGGATTGTGTGTATGCTCTTATTTCATTGATATATCATTACAAAAAAAAATATATTTTGTTGTATCAATTCCTGTTTTAAATTAATGCAATAAAATTCTCTTGTAACATACATTTACATTTCAACTTTCACTGTTTCAACAAACTGTGAGCAGCTAGAACTATATTGTTGTAACAGTATTAACCTTGTGTCATGCTAGAAATTGTTTCTAGTAAATATTTTACTCAAAGGAGAAGATATGTAGGACTGATGTAAACAAAACATCTCAAGTCTGTACATGTTTTATTTGTATAAATCACTGGACATAAAATCATCATAGGGTACCAAAATGGAGCATTTTCACTTCTGTTCATATGACTTGTAATAAATGTTCCTTACAAATTTAGGATAATTAAAGGATTCAAACTGAGCATGTTTGTTAATATTCAGGAAGATCTGCAGTTTTATTCAAATTCATATACACAGTACTCCTTCGGCCACCTACATTGCTTTCTTATATTTTACCATGGCAGACGTCATATTTTTTTGACATGCTGGAATTATTCGTTTTTTCAACTTTATCAAAATAAATGTTGGATATAGTGCATGTGTAAATATATAAGAAAGCACCACAATTCATGTGGAATTTTTTTTCTTCTTATTAATATGTTAAAAAGCTAAACACTGCCTTACTTCCAGCAATGAAAAGACAGTTGAAGCCTTGCAATTTCGAAATTAATTTCAAAGCCATTGACTTCATTGCAAGAGCAAAGAACAACAAATGAATACAACAAAAAGGTATATCTTTAAAATTAATAAAAGCTTTTTTTCCTTCTTTTTTTACTAATTTCTACTATATTATCTGAGAAATATTGAAATAGAAAGTAATACCAGAGAGAGCCAAGAAACATGATGAATAAAAATTCAAGACATGAATTTTCATCTAGTCAAAACTATTTAAAATAAACTTGACTGAAAAGGACTGACAGAAACTCAACATAGTAAAATAAATAAAATAAATCACAACATTCTCAACAAGATAAACAACAGACTGACCATCTATATTAACAGATCCAACTATGCCCAGCATCTGAATATAAAACATTAATCTTACTTGTTATACAACTCTACAAAAACAGTCAGATGCAAATCAATAAATGGATTTTCAGAATACTTCCCTACTCTACACTTCTCACATTGTTTGTTTAATTTTTCCACAAATGAAACACCTTTCCCATTGCAAATGCAAATGAAATTATCCTGTAGAGCACACAAATCTAGGTATTTAAGTACAGAGACACTGGAATAGATATCCTTTGTCTTGATATAAAACTTGTGTATCAAATTATAATAATAAAAAAAAGTACAGCTAAAAATGCTTACAGGTCAGAGACCTAGTTCTTTCTAAATCTTAGGAAGGCACACTGTGACATTCGTGTTGTCTCTCAGTCTGCATGACAGTTGGGTCTTGTTGGTGTGTAACGGCCTGCTACCCGATGCCAAGCTTGTGGAGATGTTCGATCATGGGGGCTGCGCAAAACCCGTGGTGAGGAAGACATGGGGCTTGCAGGACATTGTATCCTGGATTTCTGAAGGCGTCGCAATGTTGCAGGACTAGCCCAACTACATTTCAGGAGAAGAGTATTATAAGTCTTGTTTTCTCTTCAACATGCGTTGCTTAATTATAATTCAATTATTACCTATTTCTTTCCTTTTCACTGTGTAACAGGACCAGATGCTTCCAACGATACACATTGGGGTACTCTGCAGCAGTTATTTTACAATCTTGAATCGCCTGTAATACTGCCAGGTCCATTTTGCTTGGATTCTCACTGTGCCAAATTAAGAGATATAAGAAAGATTGAAAAACCTAAAGATAAATTTAATTTGAATAAACCATACCCTTCTATATAGACACCAATGCCTTCATCTGCGGTAGCCATCTCCTCTTCAGATGAGGCTTCTTCAGGTGATGTAGGTGGAGTATAAAATGCTTCATCAACATCTAAAACAAAGATCTTTTCAGAGGAAATGTACAGTCCAAATGCAAATATGCCAACTATTGCTTTTCCACGAAGAAAAATATCCAAATCACAATTTTCATTGACATCCAAGGTAATTTCAATTATTATTTACAATTTAGAAAAATACTCTTAAACAATTAAAATATTCATTTAAAGTCCTCAATAATAATAATAACTCCCGCATCTTGGAAACCTCTCTAAACCAAACAAGAAAATTAGAAGATAGGGGTTTCATTGCACATACATTTCTTTTTCAAAAAATTGCACTAAGCTATAACAAGGATATAAAATTAGTTACTCCTTCACATATTATACTTATTAAAATAATACCTACAGAACAATACTTAGAAAAAAATAAAATTGAATGGTTCGTATTTTTGAATGTTATGATTAAGTACCAATCCTTCCCCAGGATAAAAGTTTGAAAATTAATAACGCTCACTTCACATAACCTAATAAAGATATTCCTCTAGTGCCTCACCTGATTCTGATCCATCGTCAGTGTCTGATGCATCAGCCTGATATTTAAATCCTTTAGTGTCATTTCTTCCAGTTTGAGTGTTCATATTTGGGCTCTTACAGCTATTACTAACATTGAGATCATTATCTGAAAATTAGAAAAATATATTTTCATAAGACAAAATTAGCAGTAAAAGAAAGACAGCAGAAGAAAATGACAAGTGGTCTTACCACATCCCGAGTAACTTAGTCGTCTAGAAATGCAGTTCAAGGAAGATATTTTATTGTCATGACATACTGCAATATCTGTAATTACAACTGGCTTCATACTATGACTTCGCTTCAAAGAAGCACCCTTGCGAGAGTTTCTTGATAAACTCTGCATATGCCAGCTGCAAGTACATGCAATGGCATCTGACCACACTTTCATACACTCATCTTCAGTATCAACACGTGTGTCAGCTGCTATGTTTTCATTCTCTTCCAGGCGGGTTAGGGCATCTACTATACTCTGTGATAAGCACTTCACATGATTTTTAGAAGAAATGTCTGATTTTTTACGTCTCTCTACACATTTTCGAGTTCTATACAGAGAATTAGAATTTGTAATATCTTCTTCATCTGATGATGGAGGTTCTATTCCTTTGTGCGCTAACAGAGCTAACTTTAAACAAGAAATTATCAATTCCACATCCCAACTGGATAGTTGGATTATTTTTGTGGCTACTAATGTGGCAATTCGAGAATGAATCAAATGAAAATCAACTGTCACAAACCGTGGATCATCCATATAACTATTGACAAGAACTTGTAAATGTTTGACTTCCACTAAAAGAAAATCAAAAACTGATTCACTGCATGGTTGTGAATCTCGCATTACTTCTTCCATTACTACCAAATGAACTAGTCCATCACCAATTCGTTTAGCAAATACTTGGCATGATTTCTCTACATATAAAAATGGACTTAGACCAGGATTCGATAACACATTCAATAATGATTCATTTTCAGCATTTGCACATACATCTCCCCCTGGCATGTTAATCATTTTCATAACTGGTTTCCTTTCTGTCGTCTGAATCGATGGATTGTCCGTCAGGCTACAGGCCTTAAAAGCTAAACATAAATCTGACATAGGACTGATAGCACCATCAGCTCCATCAGTTTTAGAGGTAGTTGTAACAGGAACTGACTGTTCTTTAGAAACACCAGTCGATTTAAAATTTTCTTTCGGAGGTGATTTCATAAACACTTGCATAAATCTATTTTTGAGATACACTTCTAATTTTTGTAATCCTTCTGGTGTACATAGATCTGTAAATATTCCAAGAAAAGGCCAAAATTCTTTCCAACTGACTCTGAATTCTTGTGCAAGCTCTCTGAAAAAAAAATTGTAAATTATAGGAATATTGCATGAAAAATAGAAATTCTACAATGTGCGCTTATTCACATTATGATTTTCCAGTGTCACCTACCTCCCCACTCTCTCCAAACCTTTTTCTGTATCTTGGAGTCTAAGAATTGTTGCAACAGTACTAGAAGGGCCATTTTTAAATGGAATACGTTGAATTCTTGGTGGTGTCTTCCATTTCTTGCGAAATACAACAGCTTCATCATGACTCATAGGACCAGCATAAGCGTGAATCTCCATCCGAGGATTAATTGGATCAGTATTCAAAGCCTGACAATAATATTAAAAATTCATCCAAGATGCAACATAATTAATATTATATGCAGTTTGTCTCATATATATAAACATAAATAATTCATGAACATAAATACCAAAGGGCAAGAAGGAGAAAATGGAGAACCCACAACTGGCTGAACTGAATTGTCTTCTGATCTCAAAACAGGTACATAAAATCTCTCATCAAGCAAACTCATAATTTCTTTTTTCAAATTATGGGAATTATGAGAAGCATCAGACCCAGAAATTCTACTGCAAACAATCTGCAAATATAACAAATCCAAGTAGAAAGTAATCATTATCTTAATTTCTCTCGAAATTAGTAAGCAGTCATGATAATTTCTATACATACATCTTTGGGTGATTGACCAAATTTGTTTTTAGGATTCTTGTCACATTGTGGACAAGACACAAGAGCTTCAACAACACCAACAGCACCAAATTTAACAGCAAAGTGAAGAGGTGTTTCATTTAAACCTTTATCAGGAGTATTCAAATATAAATCTAATAAAATAGCTGCTCTTTCCTGGCAACTCTCCGGGTCATCATCTCCATACAAAAGACCCACAAATGCAGGATCACTAACAGTCTGAATTATAAATTCACACATAGCAGTATTCCGAGCCTTAGCTGCCACATGTAATGCATTGTATCGAGATCCTTCCTGAAAATGAAATAACGCATTAGAGTGTTCCTAGGTCATAAAAAATAATGTTTACTCATTTCGTGAGCAATATAACAAATGTATCTGCTCTGTACATACTTGTAAAATGGCAGGAGTATCACCACTGCTGACAAGGTATCTAGGATTGGACCAAACAGTAGAGCTTACACTTTTCAAATCACCACATTCAATTTGTTTTCTTAGCTGCACTAGGTCTTGGGCCTTAGGTCCTTTAAATAAACTGGGTTTCTCAAACACCAATGGGCTTGCTGCTTCAGGAACATCAGCATGAGTAGACGAGATATTATTTAAAATTTCAGAACCATTAACAGCAAATTCCACAGCATCATCTCTTGTTTTAAAGGCCTTAAATCTTGCCTTTTTGTAACGTTTTACAATCTTCAGGGCCTCTATTTTATCTACAGTTACATGAACATGTTCTGAAACACACACAAGATGTAAACTAAGCAATACAAAAATTGACAGGTACAACAAATGTCAAAACTAAGTAACGGATTATGATGCTATTACAATATAGATAGTAAAGTGAATGTCTCTCTTACCACTATCTTCTATTAATTGAGTTTCTGAGGGAATATAAATTCCATAATAAGTGATATCTGTGTTCACTATTTCCGGGCATTCTATTTTCGTAGCTAGAGGGCCCATTTCTTGGCTCTGGTCCAACATTGGTGTGTTTTGACGGCTATGTACCTGTGAACCATTTTCGGTTTCAGTAGTAGACTGCTGGTCCGAATGTGCAACTTGCTTCATAGAAATGGCACTGGCTGTCACCCTCGACATTTTCACATAACATAACCTACAGAATCAATCTCTTTTTAAACTTTTATTTCTGAGTAAAGCAGTAAACTTGATATTAAAATCCGTGCGTACATATATCGCATATTTGGTTCGCATTAAAATCCTTGGTTAAAATTAGTCACAAAATAAAACACGTATCAGGTCATTCAAACATCTTCAGACACAACACCCACATAAACACCTCTGCCGCCTGGTACGAAATCGCGCAACAAGAACCTAACATGACAGAAACCTTATGCTGATTATGTTTCGATTTTCGTAGTTTCTCTGATATCCATGCTCGTGTTATTAACATCGAGTTCACCAAAATAGCCGAAATAAGTTATTGTGCTCGAATAATCTACTTATATATTTTCCTATTGTTATTTCTTATTTATTTCGCGGCGAAGGTATTTGTTGGCATGTTAACCAGCCTGCAAAATCTTGTCAGCTTTGGATTGTGTTCATTGTGTCACGTAGAGTTAGAGTAGCAATATTCGTTCAGCATAAAGAAAATTGACACTTTATCGCAAAATTGAAAACGTTTTTGTTGTTGTTTATTTTCTCTAGAATTCCAGTATGCCAGCTTTTAATAACGAAGACTGATTTCAAAACTACAACATCCGCATAAGAAAGAATTAATGAATACCAAACTCATTCAAATGATGCTGTACGAGCTTTAGGCATGTGAAATCTGTATTATATGCTGGACATAAGCGTGCGCTCGGGAAGGGGCAGGGGGTCAAGGCCCGCCTCAAAATTTCCAGAGGTGCTCCATGGCCCTACATAATTAAAAATTTTATTTCCATAAATATCATCAATTCCAGATTTTCCCCCTTTTTTAAGCTCACAATGGCCGCGAAAGCATAGGATGTTTTTGTAGATGTTACACAGTGCAACAAATATGAACTTTGTGTCTTGCCGCGACATGAAAGTACGTGTTCCTTACCACATCACATACGCTGATGGCGAAAACAAAATCAAAAATGTTCCATCACGTACCATTTTTTCTGAAAAAGTTACGCCACGTATACCGCTCGAGAAACGTGGAAATGACTCAATAACAGTACAAGAGGAATCTGTAGTGTATTAATCTACAGACCATGTAGCAAAAAATATTTGTATTACAAAAATTGTTCGTATTAAATTATTTGTATAATTAATTGTTTGTATTACAGTACATAGAAACTACAACGAGAAAGTCAAATAAGGCTTGAAATGCTGAAGGATCATAGGACACAGTTTATAACGCTGTTGACACAAATGAAAAATATAATATATTTTTCTCAAAGCTTTCATTTCAGTGTAACGCATGCTTTCCTCTCAAAAGAGAAAATTAAACAATTGACGGAAAAGTAATACTTGGATCACACGAGGAATCAGAACATCGTGTAAAAACAAACGTACGCTTTACTTTTTAGACATCATAACGTAACACCCAGTTTCTAGTTTCCATTTTCTTCCGAGATTTCAAAAGAATTTTAAGGAAAGTAATAGTTCAGGCAAAAATAATGACAAATAATCCGGAATTTGAACGCTTGTAACAAAATTAAAGCAATGTGAAATTTCATAAAAATACGACCACATCTTCTCGGTACTTAGTAGAGAATGTTTTAAAGGATGATTAAAAAAGTAAGTAATCAGGAAAAAGTTCACCAATACTTTTCAACCAGCTTCAACCAACACTTTTCTACAACTGCGACTGAACTCACGAACAGACTCAAACCACAAAATTTAACATCATTCGCTCCCCTAAAAATGTTCGATGCGATGTTTATTTCCGGAATTTCTTCTAACGAAATCCTGAAAATAGCCAGTAAATTAAAAAAATAAATATTAATCTGGTGTAGATGAATTTCCGGACTGTTTATTGAAAACTTGTGTATCTGCCTTTATACACCCGTTAACTCACATTTTCAATGCTTCTGTATGCATATGAATATTTCCAGATATTTTCAAAACAGAAAAAATTAAGCTACTTTCTTTTTTAAAAAAGGAACAAAAATTAAATTCCAAATTACCGGCCAAGTTCTCTTTTGTCAGGTTGCGTAGGCTCTGAAGAAGGCCACAATACGCTGGCCGAAACGTTAGCCACCATGACATCGACGCGGCTTGTCCCGGATAGCCCAGCCAACAACTCTCTTTCGTCAGTTTAATAAAAATATTAGAAAGGCTCTTCTATACGCGAATGGAAATTTTTCTCCGGAAAAACGAAGCGTTTTCAGACACAACACGGTTTTAGAAAATCAAAATCTACGGAAACTGCCATATTTTTCTTTTCTTAAAGATGATGCTTCATCAATCGATCAAAATAAAGCACCCATTGGAATATTTTTAGATCTTTCGAAAGCTTTGGACGTTAAAGACCATAACATCTTGCTATCAAAATTACCTTCTTGTGGAATTCGTGGAATCGCCCTAGATTGGATAACCTCACCTTAAACATCGATCTGAAAGAGTAGAAATACCTTACTGGCACGAAAGGACATTATTTACTTATCTTTCCGATTCTTTGCCAATTGAATATGGGGTCCCGCAAGGTTTGATTTTAGGTCGTATCCTCTTTCTGTTATACGTATACGATATGCCCTCGTCTATTAAAAACGAAATAACGTTTCTCTTTGTCGATGACACGAATGTTCTTTGTAAAAAAGAAACAAATAGTACGATATCAGTAGTTTCAAATTGGTTTTGTAATAAAAAATTAATAGTTAACGAAAGAAAAACAGTTTCAATGCATTTTTGCATTTCAAATCAGCAATCGCATACTCCATTGAAAATGAGCAATAAGCAATTAGCTGATGTTAATGTAACAAATTTCCTTGATCTCTCAGTTCATTCAAACCTCAAATGGAATGTACGTATAACAGAATTAAACACTAAATTAAGTTCATTATGTTACGCAATCTGAATTCTTTCAAATTTTGTCAGCCTTCACGCAGCTCGTTACGTGTATTTTGCAAAAGTGCACTACCGCCTAAGATATGGCATAATATTCTATATATATTAATGACCTTTAGATTACGAAAGAAAAATATTCAAATAATGAAAAACATACCATCCACGTGATCCCTGCAAGCCTCTCTTCATCGAGCTTGGAATCTTACCTTTGTCTTGCATATTTGTTTACGAATCTGTAATATTTGTTAAAACTGAGTTATTTAACGGTGGGACATATTTTCATGCAGTACTGATATTTATAATTACAACACATGTCGTAGAAATAACGTTCATCATGTGTCAGTATCAACAGGTCACTCCCAGAAATCGACATACAAAACATGCGCGTTACTTTACAACGCATTGCCAGATGACATTGAACAACTGAAGTCGGTACACAAATTTAAGTTAAAAGTAAAATATTTTCGCTGCATAACTGTTCTATGCAATTAGACTATACTAATCATCAAAAAGAAAAATAATGTTTATTTTAACATATCAGTGATATATATATATATATATATATATATATATATATATATATATATATATATATATATGTATATATATACATATATATACACACACATTCATTATATATAATATATTAGTTTATATTTGTATTGTATTTTTAAGACTTAACACGGTTGTAACAAATGTACTTCAGCTTCCGGGTCAATGACCCACATCTCGAACAGGTTTTTGTCCAGTTTTCCTGATATATCGAGCAAATGCTGAGATGGTCCCTTGTTGTGCTTCTGGTCTTAAATGTAGCTTCACTATGCGCACGTTCTGTTGAACTCTCCTTTTGCTTATAGTGGTAGGAGTAGAGGAAAGGGTGAGTTACTATTTTGTTAGCAATGCAGAAAAATCAAATCTGCAGTTCATTTGCAAATAAGTTTTCTATAACTCGGGAACGGAAGTGTTTAGTTTTTCAAATGTTGCTAATCTCGCTCTTTTTTAAATTTTATTTTGATTTATTTATCTTTTACTTTTACTCATCTTTCAACTTGTTATAATTAAAATTATGGAAAAGGATTCTGGAAAACGTGCACAGATGATCTTCTCCCCATGCGTCACATATAGTGTTTGCTGTTTTTTGACTAAATAAATCTAAATCTGAATATTCTTGCAAATTAGAAACTTTTCCTGGAAATTTTCCGTTTGAGGGTGGATGGCAATACTTCTTTTAGGAATGTCCAGCAGTAATCCGCCAAAAAGTTTGATGACCATCTTCCCTTATATCATATTTCCATGGCCGATGTCTTGGTGAAAATGCTTGCCATTTTCGTCCCTCACATTTCTAAGATTAGGTGGGCGAAATACAATGGGATTTAAAGAAATGTAATTTCGGAGCTATGTTGCACCCCATTGCTTTGTAACAGTCCAACATATGTGCAGTCAGTTCCCTGTAATTCTGAGACATTGTTTCGCAAGACATTGTCGCTCACCTCTCAATGCAAGCCAAGATGACTTCTCAGTATCCGTCAGCAACTGTTCAAAGGTAATATCTTTCATCAAGTCACGGATCTGAGGCCAAATGAAAATTCCTTCATTATTTTTTCAGTACTAATGGCAGGAAATTTAGATAGGGAAATTTAAAACCCTAGTCATCTTTGTCCATTGGTTTCAGAAAATTCTTCATAAAGCCCAATTGAATCGTTTATTTCAGAAAGCCACCAAGTACACTTTTTCAAACTTCTCGAAAATTAAAGAAAACTTTTTACTTTTAATATTATTGTATATTTTTGCCTAGAAAAATATTACAATATTTCTCAACATATTCTTAAGACAAATAATGCTTGTATTTAATTTTTATAATTATACTCTAGTCAAAAAAAATATAAAAAACATGTTTGACGGGTTTCTGGAATAGATCACCTTTTTTCTATAAAATACTATTTTTTGATAAAATTCTGACGTTTTAAAAAACGGTGGAATGTAAAATAGAGACACATTACACTTTATTAAAAAAATATTAAATATCAAAGAAAAATAAACATAGAAGAAAATGTAAAGAAAGAATAAAAATTTGTATGCTTAAATTCTATTCTATTTAACTTAAAACACAATATACGTATTTATAATACGTATACTGTGCTGAAAATCACTATCAACAGCAGAGCATCAACTACCATCTAATTATAACTAAAAACAAAAACCACAACGTAGCCGTACTTATTTGTGTGTTCAGTAATTAATCATCCTCATACATTCATCCGTTACATTCATCGTCTCCGTTACATTCATCTTCTGTTGTAGGCCACTGGAGGATGAAAAAGTTTCGTACGCTGTAGTGTATTTGGATAAATTATTC